ATATATATATATTTTAAATATATACCTATGTATTTAAATATATTTCTTATTTAAGAGTTGGTATCAGTCAGACAGGAACCGCCCGTCTTGCCGACTGCCCGGCTGTCGGGTGCCAGCCTCCTCCGCACGCCCCCGTCCTCAGCAGGGGCACACGCACACCCCTGCACTACCCCATCCGCATCCCAGCGGACAGGCGAGTCGCCTGCCTTGCACCAATTTCAGCATCCAGCCACCTCAGCAGCAGCATTTCGGTACCTTCAGACCCCGGGGCTCCCCCAGGTCTGCCTGACACCGCCCTCCTCTTCCTCCGAAAGGACAGGGGCTCCTGGCAGCAGGCGCCCTCCACTAGCCCAGGCCCAGTGCAACAAGCTCAGAGGACACCAGGAAAGGGGAAGCCTCCTGAACTTGATGCCACCAACGCCTGTGTGAACTCCTCAGCAGAGGAAACAGCAGCTGCTGCCTCAACAGGCAGCTGCGTTTCTGCTCTGCCCTCCCTGCAAGCCTCCCCAGGCCAAGCAATGCCGCCAGGAGCTGCCTTGGACAGAGCCTGTTCTTCTCTTCAAATCCACTGGTCATCTCGGCCCCCAGAGCCACCGTGGTGTCTCGCACCTTCAGGGCCAGGGCCTGGTCTTCAACACCATGGAGCTCTCTAGAGATCCTGCTGACTCGGAATAGACTCACAGGAAAAAAAACAAACAGAGAAAACCACACGTAACCTGATCCTCAGTGAAACAGAGGAGGAGGAACCACAAAACACGACTCCTCCGTGAAGGTTGCCCTGGTGGGCTAAAAACAGTGGCCTGTGGAAAAGGTACCCTGCATCCAGGCTTCTCCAACAGTCCTCTTCCACTCAGAAATTTCGTCTGGGTAGAAAGAGGAACTTGTGCATCCGTTGGGGATTTCTGGATGCCTAGCAGACCAATGCGCTCATGCAGATTTGATGCATTAAGAGGTACAAACGGAGAAGAAAAGCACCCTGATGCTGCTGGCCATGCAGCACACCCGCTCTAGTGACTGTGGCCAGACAGCAGTACCGAAGTCCACTCAGGCTCCTGCCAGTGGCAATGTCGGAGCCCTGCCCTGGATCTAAAAGCACCGTCGTTATCTTGTCTGAGCAACTTGGTCCCTTAGTTAAGTGGCGGTAGCCAGCTGAGAAATACCTCTCTGCAGTCCAGTGATGAGATGCAAAGAGCAACTGGGCTCCAGGGAGAGGCAATTAGAGCACAAGGAAAGCAGGAACAAGAGGAAAAAAAAGAGAGGAAAAACAGAACCGAGACACAGTAACAGCTCAGCAGGGACAGTGACACTTTGGCAGGGACAGGGTGAGAAAAGCTTCCAGGGAGCAAGCCGGGCAGGTTTTGCAGGAAGCTCTGGCCTCCCCTCTGGGAGCACAACCACCAGGTACAGGCAGCTGTAAGGGCACCACCCTGAGGATCCCCAAGCCTCCTGCTGAGCCCTGAGCTGCGACTAGAGTCACCAACGCGCAGTCACAGCCCAGCGTAATGGCCAGGAGTAAAGGGGACACGTGAGGGAAGAGGTCAGGGCCCAAAGGGAGATGTAGCTTTGCTGTGCACAAAGACTCAGGAGCAGGAGGACATACAACAGTGGCACTGAATTATTTTCCTCCCTAAAGGTGGCCGTGTGGAGTGAGCTCGTGGGGGAGACGGGGTGGAAAAAGCTTGGAGGCTATTGTTAAAGCATATATCTCCATTGGCACTAGGAACCAGTTTTGGCCTATACCAGCCATCTCTGAAAATGTCTCTGACAGGAGGAAATAACAGGAAAGCTGAGCACTAGGAAAGGAAGGGGATTTAGTCTCCGCTGTGAATGCCTTGGGTAAGGTTGTGTACTAACACATCCGTGACTCCAATGCCTAATCAACACATGGGCAAGAAGGCTGCTGGTACGGTGTCTGATCCCAGCCGCCCCATAAAGTGCCCCACACTCACCAGACACCTGGGGTCCTCCAGGCAAGCCAGATGAGGTCAGACTTGACTTCTGCAGGACATGAAACCTACTGCAGCCAGTTTTTCTTTTCTTTTCTTTTCTTTTTTTTTTATGTAAGGTAAATGAGATTAGTTTCTTTAGGCATCTGAGCAAAGCCCAGAGCAGGAGCACAGCCATTAAAAAAATATCATTCCCAGGTCACGTCTAAGGACCATCCCGGCGTGGAACTGAGGTGAGGGATGCAAAGGGGCCTTGTGGGCTCGGGGCAATGCTGACACCGTGTCCCTCCGTCAGGATGGACGGCACTGTGACAAGCCCGGGTCGCTGCTGCCCTTTCCTAGCAGGGGCTTGGGGCAAACTGCCTTATTGGCATCTTGCTTCTCCAGTGAGAGCGCCTGGGGCCTGAGCAGACCTGTCTTCCCTGTGAGAAGGGCAACGGGGAGAGAAACGTGAGATGCATATTCCCTTGTGCAGAAATGTTAAGAGAAACAGAGCGAGAAAGAAGAGAAAAGGGGAGGGAGCAAGGGAGGGACACGCACGCCATCACGACTGGCCATTTCAAATGCTTTCAGATCAAGAAAGCACATACTGCCTCCCGCCATGGCCTGAACTGGAAAGAGAAGAGTTTTTCTGGAGGCAAAAGCTGTCCTGTCCCACAAACGCCAGCCGTAAACAGGGAGTGCTGAAGGGCTGATCAGCCGAGCCCCCTTCTGCACACCCACCCGTGTTCACACGTTAAATCCTGACCAGCTCCGGAAAGTGTTTTTTTCAGTCTACCCTGAGCAGTTTCCTCAAATGAAGGTGCTTTTCCTCTCGGGGGAAGAGAGTGGGGGAGAAGGGCTGCAGGGATCTCACAGTCAGCACTCATTAGCTCTCTCTGGGAAGAAGATTTCGCGGCATCGCTGGACGGTGTCCTGGGGGGACTGGACGCTGTGTCCCACCGTTCGGGGATCGTCATAGATTTCATAATCGTTCCCTCCCTGCAGGGGAATAGAAAAGGGGGAAAAAGTTAGCAGAGCCTCCTCCTCTGACAACCCACAGCTTGGTTTGTCCTGCAAGGAGCCTCCGTTCGCTGGCGCAGCGCAGGGCTCCCTGGGGCCAGGGTGGAAGCCGGCAGCGTGCAGCCGGCCAGGGGGGGTCCGGGCGCAGCGTCCTGCGGGGAACGGGCTGCTATACTGAGCGCCCCACGCCTGCCCCCTTGTTTCCCCTCTTCCGTGCCACCCCAGAGCGCACCACATCCCCTGGAAAGGACGGGGAAGGTCCTAAGCCCTCCACCAGACTAAAGGGAAGGCTTCCCCCCCCACCCCGAAAAGCCTTCTCCTAAGTGCTTGAGGCTTGACTTTGGGGTCCTGCTGGCCCCAGGAGTGCCTGGCGCCCCCAGCACGTGCTGGGGGGAAGGAAAGCAATACCGAGGTGGACCCCAGCACAGCGAAGCCAAGGTGATTCCTGCACGATCCAGCCAGACTTGCAACAGCTACGAGCCCCACACGAGAGCACCTCTCCCTCTCGCACCGCTAGAGGTCTGTGTTGGCCGCTGGCAGAGGCTCAGGCGCAGGGACCGGAGCAGCTCTGCGCAGCCCTCGCTAGGCTGAAAGAGAGGAGGTGGCCAAGCATCAGGCGACCGGGGCATACTCACGGGGGTCGTCTCATTCCCAAAGAAGTGGATGGTGTCAAATCGCTCGTCGTCAAGCACGTTGAGGCAGTAGCGCTTGTCCCAGCCCTCCGGGAAGACGTCAAAGCTGATCATGCCACCTGCCAGCAGAACGAAGGGCATCGGGCACCGCGGCTGGGGGGGGGCAGGGGGGCCCCCCCCCCCCCC